GAATCTTGTCCAGATTTTCTACAGAATTCCTTTCTTAATGTTTGTATTTCTTGAAGCCTAGAGTTTTCCGACATGTTAAAGTTGTTACTTCCGTAATTCCTTTCCATTTGTTCTCCATAAAGGTTTCTTCTCTTAGTGGATCTTGTAAGACATTGAACTTGTTGTTGATAGCTATCTTGAACATCCCGAGTTTGTTACTATCTCTAAGGAAGCCCATGTTAAAAATTCGTATTGTTGCATCCTCAACTGTCAAATGCTTTAGCTTGAGTTTTGACCTATCCATCACCAAGTGTTGGTGTGAGTGTATATCAGTTCATTTCTTTGTTCTTACATTTTCCATGGACCTCCCGAGTTTTTTTAATTTTGAACGTGTGATCTATCTGGTTTCTTGTTTTCTTCCTCCGGTTAAACAAATGTGCCTTTCTGTATACATTTGTGGAGGAAAATACTGGCTCCTATGACCATATTGTTTGAAGTACACAGATCTAACAGCCTCTTACCACTGCCTTTTCTCTTCTCCCAGTCTTTGTCACCCCATGACGGCTTCATACTCAATTTCGTCTATCACAACATTAGTGTCTAGGTCCTCCTTTAAGATGATTAAGTCTTTTCCTGAGATTTTTCTCAGGATGGACTCCAGTCACATAAAACCGGTTTTTAAAATATTTTGTGATATATTTGGTGGGTATGTAACACTAGATAACATTAACTGTAATCCTTTCCTTGCCTTACTAATCCTTGAGTCATAATTTCTCATCCTATTTTCGCTTTTTGTGCTTCTTTGGATAGCATCAGTGCAACTCCATGTGTGCGGCTCATTTTATGCCTTCTTGATCAGCAAAAGACTTCTCTACTGAAGTTAGTTTTTTGTCCGGATTTTGTCCAATAAGTTTCACTTATTAAAAGCACGGTCAAACTGTCTATTTCTATTTCCGTGGCTACTTAAATAGCTCTCCTTGTCTCCCACATTGTGCAGACATTCCACGTACACATATTTGTCGTTTCACCGGTTGTCAAGAAAGAATTGGCCTCAATGTTCTCAAAAGACTTTGGATTGTATATGAAAATTTCTCGTTAACGATTTTTTAGTGAGGTTCTTTTTATAAAGTGGTGTTGCTAATGCTACGCAAGGTCCTCCTTCACATGAGCTTGCACCCGACAGTAATCCAAGAAGGTTTCTGGGCGAAATCGATAGTACAGATAGCATGGCTAAAATTTTCCAATCCATTTTTCTTCGGTGGTTTTCTAGGCGATTACCATTAGCTATGCCACTTATATCAAAGCGGAATTTTTAGGGGTAACTTTGCAGTTTATTTATTTAAACAAACATTGGCAAAAGGAGGCACCAAGTAGATATGCACCCCACAATTCAATTTGTATGAGGGCTGGAATTATGCCCGGACACCGAAACCAAAGCAGGTAGTTCTCTTAGGGGCAACTCCCTGAGCCTTTGACTTAGAGGTCTAATCCAGGGGGCAGTAGAGTAGCGTTGGGAGATGCAGTCCTATGGTAGCCGGTGACCAACGATAGGTTCATGCACTATTTGTTCCTTCAGGATCCTGGAGCCCATGTGGGCCACTGGTTTGAAATGAAGGTCATCCAACTCCACTAGGTAGGTCCTCCATATCCACCAACCCCGGTAAAGCCATGAACATTCGCTTTTCGTCCTCTCAATTTCGTAAACAACCGTGTCGCGGGAAGATCGTGAGCTGAATTTTCTCGGCAGTGGTTGTATGCGCGTGGCCATGTGAGAGCATTTCGAAAGGGAGATCTGACTCTCCCCACTCTGCCGTACCAATCAAAATCAAAGTGATCATATCTTGTAACACCGTCTTTTGGTTGAAGGGGCTGGTCCATTGGGTATTTTGTGGTGCGTTATAAACTTGTCACGTTATCCCATCCTCAAAATAAAAGCAACAGATTGTGGTCTTTCACAGTACTGGTTTGTCCATATCATTCATAGAAAACATTTTCCAAAAAGTTACGAAACGAAAGGAGTAATTTTGATAGTGAAGCGAACTGAACAAAACACGCTTGATTAAAATGTGCTAAACGACAAGAGTACACTTCATTTTTAAGCCTGCTAGGGGTTTAAAATCAGTGATAGATCACTTAGTAAGATGACTGCAAGTCTCGTGTGTATATATATAACCCAATTTTAACCTTTCTTTAATATCTGGATATTTTTATTTATAGTGTATTTGTTATCTTTTTGATTCAGTGTCTTCTTATTGACGAACGCTGGTAGTGTGGAACCTAGTACAAATGTGTATTTGTTAAACTTGTCCTACTTCATATAACAGCGGTAAAAGAAAAGTGAAAGGATATAAAAGTGTAAAAACAATTGTTTCAAAGTCTTTGGATTACTTTCACCTGTTGAACAAGTACGTGTACATTTTTATGTTCTGTGTGGAATTCAATAGCTAGACCCTTTGGATATGTTCTCTGCAGGAATAAAAAGGCTACAAAAACTTTATAAACTTATGTAAGAATAAATGACATTTTTACCTGTTTACATTTTCTCTAGTTCTTTCATCAAACCTTGTGTTTATACTTTTGTTTTGTCGGGTATGTATCATGATTCACCATACAAATAAAGGGTTTTGTAATCGGGAAAATAAATAAACATAATTAAGTTTAAGAATCCTGTTGAGCGCTATCTAATGATTTTAGGACATCAACAACCGATTTATAAACGTCAGGTTCAAATATAGGTAGTGAGCTGATTGACAGATATTCAGTAGTATATTGAATGGAAGCTTCTAAAGTTTGGCGAGAGATTTACATTTTTTTAGTTCAAGCATGTTGGTTTTCTGGTCCTCATCAAAGTGTAAATTTTTAAGGGCATTAAGTTCGAATAACCTATCTAGTTTCGATGATTGGTTTCCGAAAATAATCAATGAATTACGTAAAACCATTTGGACGGAACGAAAACGCCATTATGGCGAGGTTACTGACTGGAATGAATTGTAGCACTGAAGTAAGAAATGATGGACCATGTTTAAATGAAGTGCCACATAGACATAAAGTGATGGAGTATGTTCTTATACGGCAAAACGGTTTGAGTTTATGAGCATTTATTCATGGGAAATGGGATATTTGGATTGCCATAACTTTTATGGAGGATTTGATACTATCCAGAAACCCAAGTTTAAATAGGAAGCCTTTGTGAAGAAACCACTGCTCAGCTTTTAAAATAAAAATTCAATGTAGAAGGTAGTGCCAGGAGAAGCAATAGTATAGTGGTCTGGAATTGTCGTAGGCTGAAAACAACTCACTTTGTTAAGCTGCTGAACCTTATATATTGTTATTTTAGAGACAGTGTTTTTTCGACTCTAGATATGTCCTTCGTATCTCTTATGCCTTCACTTGGGAACACCTCACCGCAGTAGGGAAAATAAGAACTTTCTTAGTATAATGTATAAATACGCGGTTATATTATAACATCGTTTCGAAAAGAAAGATCAGAATCCTTCTCAATTCCTCAGTTGAACACTCATTAAATTTGAAGCTTAGTTTCACTCCACACTGCTCATCCCCCTTTATTATTTATTATTTTGGAATTATATACGTAGTTTTATCAAACATTAGATGTTACTATGTCTACTCAGGTGCATTTCGTTTCGTTGGTCTTCTCTGTCCTTGTGCTTATACAAAACGTTAATTTGGATTGACAGGGCAGAAAGTCGGAGTAACGATTCTTGACAGAAAATGGGCATTGATAAGCGCTTTATTTTGCACTAAAGTTATCGTTGTCAGTAGTAAAATAAAAACATAAATAAATTTTTCAACTGGTATCACGTGTGATCTTTTTGTCCTTTTGACCTTAATTGTTTTTTTACGTTCCCAAGATATCACCATCCAGACTTTTAGTGGTGCAAATATTTTTCTTTATGGTTGAAGGTCTTTCAGTCTTTCTCGTTTTTATTTTTCTTATTCGATGGTTTCCATGGAGTCACTTTACTATGCGACTCAATTCACCTCATTTTATTCTGTGATGAACTATAAATCCTCTGTTCAGAGAGTTGAAGCACTAAAGGATTTCCATCCACGTCTACGGTAGTTGAGTACTTAGAAACAGTAGCAAAAAGAGCAGTCCGGGGCCTTCTGTCACTTAAAGCTAGTGTATCTAAATAGCTTCATATTAACTAATTGGTGTAGAATATAACTTCTGGCTATCTGAGAGCATGGTGATAAGGAAAAGCTGTTTAAACAGATTGACTTAAAGAGAGCAAGAACAAAGATTGGTGCAGAATAATATGAATTCATTTTATTCTGCACCAATCTTTGTTCTTGCTCTCTTTAAGATAATAAAGGGAACTATGCGTGTGAGATTGACTTAAGTTTGTACAACGACTGCGAACACTAATAGCAAACGAATAGGAATGTTTAGTGTGGAAAATCATGACTTATTTAAGAGTCAGTGATCAATGAGGCATTTATCAAAGAAGACTAGTGTTTATATAATGTTTCAAGGAGTGTCATTTCAAATTGACAAACTTTCTGTTAAAAAGTACTGTGTTTATACATATATTTCATAAAGTTGTTTCGTCACTAACTTGTACAAGTAAAAATATACTGGTAAAAACCATTATTGTTGTAATACTGTCGCCTCCAGCACCAGTTGCTGAGTTGATCGTTTAAGTATGCTTATGTTTATTTGGATAAGTTTAAAAACTACATATAACTAAATCTTTTGGAGAGTTGCTGCCAGTGTTGTTGGATCAATACACTAGATTTTCGTAAGTATAATATAGGTGAGTTGACCTTCGGTTATGTGACTAATATTCAAGACTAGTGCCTCTACTTCTTATGATTTAATTCATTTTATCCTTTGCTATCACCAATAATCTTGCTACTGTTTTAAAAGGCGCCGATGTGATCACGTGAAGTAGGTGAACAATATTAAATTTCTGTTTTAGGTAATCGTCCAAAGGTGTATTCAAAGGGCTCTTTATTGTAATGAATGTTACTCATACATTAATCCCATTGTATACAAAATGACTACTGAATCTTCAGAACAAAATATTACCAATTTTATTCAACCAGTCTCAATCCCTGAACACATGACGATGGATATAACAAATGCTTTCTTTTCTGCTTGTCGAATCGGACTAAAACCTGGTGAACTATTACACACTAGTTGGTTTGACTTGAAGTATTCCATGTCAGCTATCGAGATTATGGACCCTAAAATGGATGCTCGAGTTCAAGGAAACCGTAAAGTTCTGACTGTATGTGAGGCGTTATCGAGTGAGCAGTTACCTTTGGGGCCTTTTTCGTCACTTTACGAGCTTTTGGGTATCATAGATGAACTTTTAGCTGCTTGCGTCAATTGGCTGACGGGCGATTCTCTTGCGCAAAGTATATTTATTTGCATGTATATGCACTGCACTCAGTTAATTAGAGATAAATATCTTGCTGCATTTTGTGAGTTATTACGACGATCAATCTATCAGTTGCGTCATATAATAATCTGTGCGAATGTCTTTGACGAAGAGGATCATTACAAGTTCACACATGGTATGCCAGTTCATGAACCCTCAAATATTTTTGATGGTTACGGTGGCTTTTGTAATGACTGTCTGCATAAATTGTCAGTGTTAGAATTAATAGCTCATGTAAATGATTTGAATAGAAATCTCGAAAATGAATCTACCATGTTTGCGGATCGTGAGGAAAAACTACTTATGGGATTACACAGTCGTCTTCAGTTTGTTCAAGTGTTGTTACTGTTCACAAATTCAATCTTTGAGTGTATAAATCCAACTCGAGTCTATTTTGAGCAAGATCTATTTGAAGGATATACGCATGCAGATCTCGATTTTTCTGAACAAAATCCATCACCTCCTAAAATGTATGAAGCTAAAAATAACACCGAATTTCTATGGGACTCCTTCATAGATATTTGTAGGAAAGTGTCCCAGCATTTAAGTAGTCTGAAATCACTGAGTGATACATTAGTAGAAACTTCAAACATTGGCAAAATGGCTGGTGAAGGAAAATTTAGACCAAAGGATGCTGCATATGGTCTTCCAGGTTTTGAAGTTTTCTTGAATCAAACCAATGTACCTACATATATGCCCAAAGTAGTAAATATTCACGATCGTCACAAATCATTTGTTTATTTTCAAGTCTCTTTACAAGACTCAATCATATTTTATGTACATACGAAAATTTTGCCTTATGGAATGTTTTACATCCTGAACCCCTACGCCTTCATAGTTTATGGACATTTATTCAGAAATCTGGTCAGATATCTTGTCCTTATGTCAAAGCTCTTTTGTTTCCTGACGACTCTAGCGAAGTAAATGAACCCATGTTAACTACTTGTGTTTTATCAAAGACAATTATATACATGTTTCACTCCACTCTTATGGGGCAAGGAGATGCTATTGAGCTTCAACCTCCGTTTCTCTCTCCGGTGCATTTCCTAAATTCATGGCAGGAGTTAGAGCCTACTGCGTATCGCCCACTGATTAAAAATATCATTTATAATATTCCTGAACTGATGAGTTTTTTCACTACACTTTCAAATCATTTCGCCCATGTAAGTGCACATTTTAGTTTATATATATTTCTCAACCTTCTATATATAAGACTAATTCTTAACCTGTTCCACTTATTGATTATCGTAATATTCTGTACATGTTCCACACGAACTTAGCTTTTTTTCAAAACTTGGTTGTCTTTCAATAAAATTGCATGAACATAGTTGGATAGCAGCTGAATCCATAACTGAAGTTAAAGATATTTTCCATCCACTGGACAACCACTAAAATGCAGATATCACTGGGTAACTTTAATTTTAGGTTGAAATGCAGTATTATAGACCGATGACCCTACACATGTACGGAGAATGGAATTTTGTGTTATGCGACAGTTACAATACATTTTAATCTATAAATGAGAATCCATCGGTCTACACTTCTGATTTTAGATAATTCGTGAAACAACACTGCGACCATCTAGCCCTTCCAGTGATTACTTTCATTCTTGAGATGCTCAAACTCTACCAGTGATTATTCCCAGCCAGCACTTTTGAAATGTACTTTAAACATGGTCAGCAATGCTGATATGACCAGTGTCTAGTTGATTAATTTGCGAATATTGGCTCAGTTTGAAGAGTCATACTTTTTATATTACAACTAGAAATCTTAATCAACATTGATTAAACAGAAACTAACCTTGCGACTCAAAGTCAACTGTGCAGATTACGAAGTACTGGTCCTGGATTATTTAACTACTATTTCTGATCTGTTTGTCTCGATTTGTCACAGTTTTCCCCAGTTTCAATCATAGTTGAGTAAATAACGATTATGCTCTATTAAACGTTGACTGAACGACAAGCAACTGGATAATTGATCCAAGTTAACTAATCCTGGAGGATTTTATTCACTGTTCTAACATTGTTGGATAAGAATTCGACACTAGTTTGTTTAATTCTGTTATCACGTTTATGGTGCTACTTCAGAAAATTTGAGAGTAGCCTCAAATATGTTACAGCATCTACACTATTGCTGCCTGACTATCTTGTGTAACTTTTTACGCTACTACCTAACATCGCACAAGATTGTCAGTTTAATTACCAATTAATCTGTGTTTTAAACGACGTTATTTTTATTTTGTAACTGACATCAGCTAGGATGACTTACCTTATAATTTTCTATGGTTTTTGTTGTGATTAATTAGTGATTCTTAGTGAAATATTTTTGCCAAGATACTGAATCAATAAAATATTTTGATTAGTATACGATAACCATTTTGCTTGTTTCTCGTAAATACCTACTATCCAAACACCGAGCAATTAGGTCTATTCCAAGGGTTTATAAATATCTGTTATCAAGCAGATGTAAAGGGCGGTACGTATTGTCTACAACATAAACTAGATAAACTGGCGAATTAGAATTCCTACAAACAAATATCCAAATGGCTCTAGCCATGCTAACTACTTTTATTTCATGTAACCCGAAGTTTACATTGGGTTACTATAAGTCAATCAACGTTCTATTTATAGGTATCCAACATTTGCAAGGTTACAAATTTTTAGGAAATGTGGTTGATAATATATGTTGAAACTTACAGGTAAATCTTGATGTACTTTATTGTTTTGAGAAGATATCCATAAATCCCAATCTTAAGTTTATATTTTATCATTCTCTTTAATCTAATCTGTTATTATTTTAATTGTAATTAAAATATTCTAGATTATTTCCTTTATACTATTTAAACTTGCGTTAATTTATCTCGGTTATTTATCTACGCTGTAGAAGTGACTTACATCAAGTTACGAAACGCCAGAAATACAGTTTTTCTACTCATCGGAACAGCAAAAATATATTTATTAACTTTCTACCCAACGCTTAATTTATTTGAAATTATCAAGTCGAACTTCGGCACTGATACATATTAATATAAGATTATTGTGTGTAGCAATGGTAGCATTGTCATTGAGTAAATAAATATTTCCGATTCCCAAACATCGCACAGGTTAAGACGTTTTTCGTGCAATTGGTTCCCTTTATGAATTTAAATAGAGCAAGAACAAACATTGATGCAGAATAGTATGAATTCATATTGTTTCGAGGTTTCTCGTCAGCTGCTTACAAACCAAAATGTGATAGAATTTTTACATTGAGATAGTGTGAAACAATTGACATAAATGAGTGTAAATAGCTGGATTACAATAATAACTATATATATATATATATATATATATATATATATATATATATATATATATATATATATATACGTAATAATAATTAAATAGAATTTGAAAAGTTAAGATAATTTAAGATCAGGTGGTGGAAATGTGTGAACAATAATGTGGGTTAAGAGGGGAGGAGTATAAATATACTAAAAGAAATAAATGAATAAATGACATAAATAACCAAAACACAAAAAAGGGTTACCAGGGTAGTGATAAGTTTATTAAAGTCTCTTTTTGAATGCATAAGTCCGGTTTAAGTTTCTTGATCGCAATGGCTTCAGCGAAACAGAGGGTGGTCGTACTTCTTTGTCTTTTGATAATTTTGAAAGCGTGCGGAGTGTCGACGGTGTGCCCGGTGTCAAGTAGATGCCGAGCAATTTCGCTGTTGAAAGCCTTAGTCCTTCGCAGCCTCAAGTTTTTCGGAACATGTTTAGAAATGTGGACATGCACTCTTCTCTCAGTTCTCCCAATGTATGTGCTTTGGCACGTACATGTGAATTGGTAAATGCAGTTGGAGCTCCAACTGCATTTACCAATTCACATCTCAATGTAAAAATTCTGTCACATTTTTGGTTTGTAAGCAGCTGACGAGAAACCTCGAAATAATATGAATTCATACTATTCTGCACCAATATTTGTTCTTGCTTTATTTAAGACGTTTTTGTTTTGAGCATTTTCTATTCAAAGTTTTTAATCGTTGAATGTATATCTATTGTTTTAATCATATCTTATAGATCTCTTATATTTACTGTCATAACCGTTCACGCCAGCGTTCCGTTCTTGGTTCATGGTTGGAAGATCTTCCAGATTTGCTTGACGAGTGTGCAAACGCCGAGTTTGTCATTGGTGTTGAACTTAGAAATAAACTGGCGAATAAAACAACTGAGTGTTTTGAATCTGTAGGAAATTTGAAGTTTTATCGACGCAAAAGACTGTTGTACCTGTTCAAATCAATCTGTCTTGTTTTGTAACTTATGTGTATTATTACTTAGCATGGGATTATATTGTCTCTGGGTTTCAACTAGAGTTGTATTCTCCAAGTGAATGGTTGTCTATTTACGCTTTTATGATACACTTATTCCAGAATTTAGCTTCTTTGCTCAGGAGTTTATCGGAAAACTGCATCGTTTCAGGATCTGAAGGACAACCTACTTTAGAAAATGAATCTGCTGATAGTAAAGGTCTAAATAAACAAGTTGATAAGTGTGATTCTGTGAATGATGTTGAGAGGCTTGTCAATCGTCAAAGTAAAAAGAAAAAGAAACGTCGAGAAAAATGCAATGTATCCGGTGTACATAGTAAGGGCATAGAAATGTCGAATACCATGAATTTTAACAGCGTTGTTAAACCAATTTCACCTATGATACATGAAATAGGTTCGACTTTTGAGGTAAGATATTTTATCGTTAATCTACTTTAGTCATCTGTTTAGTTCTCAGGAGACTTTAGTGTTCAAACTGCTTTTGATTTGAACGTTTCACGTGTAAATTGTTTGATTCATTAATAGTAGTATTACAATACTTTTGAGATATACGATTCTAACTGACGATAACAACTTTAGTAAATGGGTCCATGCATTCATCCAGTAATTGAAGGAATGTTATTATCTGCATGTCATTCTTAATTGTGAAGTATCAAAGTAATGTGTGCTTAATATTTGCTGAATACCTTTAGGATTAAATCATTGAATTAGTCATAAATTCGTTAAATATTCCTTAATGGTTGACCAAATTTTCTTTACACACTTAAATTAATTTAATTTTTGAGTATAGTTATACTTTCGCATTCATCTGACGTGGATTTTTAAACTAATATTTTTTAAATGATTTGTTTTTGAGTTAAATTTATTTGGTATGTTACTAATGTTCAAAAAAGTAACTTTTGTAATATTTGTGACGTCGGTTGTTTAGTTTAGTATCTGTTAGCTAATACACTTAGTTTTTTCCCTAAAAGTTAAAATGAATACTATCAATATAAGTGACCTCGATGACCACTATGAGTGTAGTAGTCAACAAGTGGATCCCTAATTACCATTTGAAAAATATATCAAAAATTAGGAACCCATCCCGAAAACCTAACAAAAATTGACCTTGCATCAAGAATGTCTCATAGATCACAAACGGACCAGTAAACAGTTCATGATGAGCTATTTTGAGGCAAATTAGTGATAGCTAAAGCACCCAATTTTGAACCATTAGGTTGTAGATCAGAACACCAGTCCATCTATTTTAATTAAGGCAGCCAATTTGTATCACTCGTCTTCATTCAAGAAAGCGTGTATAATGACGTTTTAGTTCAAAACGATCCCTTCAAAATCTTTTGATATTTTTGCCATTTATCCATCATCTGAAACCATCTTTGTTTTTCTTTTGTCATATTTTGAAATACACGAAAGTCGTTAGAAAAAATTGTTTTTAAAAGAAATCGCCATCAATCTGTACCTTTGTATGCGTATTACAAGGCTTAATTCTGTGGGGAAATGTGTACAGTGAATAATTATGATTGCATAATAATAAGTATTATATTAGACCAGATAGCGTAAACATTGCGTAATTGGCATTACGTGAATAAGCACTTTTTAACGTATGCTTTCTTCCTCTTTTTCCGGTTTGTCTAATAGACTTTTTGGTAATTATGATACCTATTGCAACTCCAATGGTTATTTTGTAAATTTTCGGAATCAGTCTCTTACATTTGATGGGATGGTTGTGTAAACCGTAAGATCTTGATAAGTGATTACAACATATCCATTTTGTTTTCTGCGGGAAATCTGGTTGAAACGTAAGCTTTTAATCAAGTTCTAGTAAATCAGTCCCTTTGTATACTTACAGCAAACGAATTTGAATATTCAGAATTTAAAATTATTTTCATATACAAACACAATTCTTTCATTTGCCGACTTTTGTATAAAAGCAAATAGATTCACGGTTTAATTGCTGTTATGACAACTAAAACTTCCGTATGGCTTTGAATTTCCTGTCTCATTAGAAAGTGTTTTATTTCTTTGTTCTTAGTAAGGTAGAGTGATCCATTAAATGGTAGTATTTTGTTTAATAAAGGCTTCTTTACTTATGTAAATCTAATGGTCTCTATTTTCATCCTAAATATTTTTCCAGGTTCACTTGCTCAATGTACATCAATACTTGAATACTGCAACCCTGTATGTTATACGTGCACTTCAGAGAGATAGTGGGATCGAAATAAATGTGAATCGTCTAAGTCCGGATCCTGATTCTGACGGGCAACTACGTTTATTTATTAGTCGAAATTATCTGGAACCTTATGCCAGAAGGCTTGGAATTTTTCTCATCCCTCATAATTCACCTCTAGCTGAAATGGGAGGTGTTTCAGGGGCTTACGAAACATGGAGATCATTAGTAAGTAGTAGCATTATTGATGGTCGTTCAACAAGTGATCTTTATCTGATGGCAGCAAGAGCGTTTGATGAAGCGCAGAATTTAATTCAGAAAACTCTGTATTTGAAGTCAGTAGGTGAAGAAAAGTTACTTAAGTTCACACAGTCTCCTATTGTTCTATCCCTGTTCACTGAAAAGTTAGGGCCTCCTGACCAACTCATCGATCTTCAACAATTAGCAAGACGTAATTCCATTGCTTGTCGTGTACTGGGTGTATGTGAAGATCGACGGCCAATTGTACATACAGCCAATCCGTCCACAATAAATCCTAAGATGTCGTTTTTATGTTCATCTAGTCCAGTTAAATTGGACTACAACTTTTTAGAAAGCAAGTGTTATCCGCTTATTCGTCTAGCTAGTCAATCTAAAAAATCTTAATAATAGTTATGTTCACCTGTGAATATCTGTTTGGATGTTATAAATTTGTTTAAAGACTGGATGTTAAAATGATGTTTCTAATTAATTCTTTCTTTTAATGTAATATTTTTTAGCAGATGCATGTATTTTGTATACGGACTTTTTTGGAACTTAGATCTTTTTCATTCTTGTATAAATTAATCAAATATCCTCCTATCCTCCTGTATATCAGTGTCCTCGTACTTGTTGTAATATATGAGTCCTAAGCAAATAATTATGTACATAAGTCGAGAAATAATGAACATATTTATTGGAGATATCATATCCTTAAATTCATGATAGTTTAATGTATTAAATATTTTGTTTTAGATAAATAAACTGCCTACAATTTTAAATCACGCAAAGACGTCAAATAATAGATGAATTTCAATCAAGACACTAGTTCTAAATATAAGCTAAGAATTATAACCCTCTTGTGGATTTTAGTTATCAAGATGAAATATTAGCACATATCGTTTTAAGTAAAAACAGTTGTTGATAATAAGTTGGTATGTAACTAGTGAATTAATTATTAAAAGAATAGAATTTCTTACCACTAGTTATTTAAAAAAATTAATAATGGTAATATATGCTCTTTGGTGGTCTATGTTTATTGAACGTTAGTATTAAATAACTTTCCAACGTGAACAATCATTTATCTTCGTTGCTCTTAGTTAATATATCAGAAATAGGATATGTGAAATCAAACAATCTACATAAAAATTTACAAAAGATTTTTTTACATTACATACCATAAAGATTGAAAGGAAAGGAAATTAAACAGTAGAAAAAAATGAATGAAACTAACGTATTGTCCACCATTTTCAAGCTTATTATCCAGCTTAAGGCATAATTAATGTTGTTCTTGAGCCGATTGGAGCACGACTTAAAGCATTTTTCGATGTTTGTCCACTGACAAGTTTTTCCCTATAGTAAATGAAGAAAATAGATTTGTGTTACTGAAACATTAAGTTTTATTAATTGATTACTTCGAAGTCACAATTCACAACTGAGCTAAAATGTTATTGCCCTTCAAAATGTATATTGCGTAGGTTCTATAGTTTTGCTCCAAAATCAGTCATTAAAAACTGATTTGATTGGCGCTTAGCATCCAAGTTGTTTGGTATTGGATTCTTAGAGGACATTTCATGTTGCTAGTATATAATCATGAATGCCTTCGAGGTATCACTCACGTATGCTTGCATCAACACTGAGTTCATGCATAGGATATGAGGCCAATCGGTTGATGAAGTTAAATATCTTCGTTGACTTTGGTGGTTGGAACTTGTATGATGCTTGCTAGTGCAAGAGTAGGTTGGAGAAAACCTAGGGGCTGCCATGTAAGTACGTGGATAATACTTGATCGGGGTCTGCGCGAATATCGCGGTCAATAGTTTAAAGTCACGGGAGATTTGTAATGGCGCATATGCACTTATTCTTTGTCTTCTTTTAGATCCAGAGTTTCTAAACTATTTTACACCGTTTATCCCAGAAATACATTTTCTCGCATCATGTCTTCTATGTTGAGTGCTTCTTATCATCACTGACAATATTACTACTACTCTGCCATTTGATGTGGCTTGGCAACTTAAACTAATATCGACCGTTGCTGCTACCTTGACGTGGTGATTGGGCTTGCCCATCGTAATCAACCGATCGAGCTATACTGGATGGGACAATCGTTGCTTAAGGCCCTACTATGCCAGACAGGTCGGTTGAAAAGCGGTAAGACTAAAAGGAGCAGTTCCAAGGTCTGAGGGCGAAGTCGTACTGCTGACTGTACAGAGGTATGATGGCAGTAAGATGTTTCCTTCAGGCAACCAGCATAACAGCGATGCTGCTTTCCCACAAGGAAGGGTGGTGTTAGAAAAGGTCGGCTCTAAAAATACACACCTCGCCTTATCCCACGGAGTTCTATCTTCGGCAGTAAGGTCCCAACAAGTGCGGAGCTAACACGAAAATTACCCACAAATAGGTCGTATGTGATCGGCCTCGAGCAGGTGTCACTCGGAACTCAGGTCACTAAGAACACCTCTAACCCGATTTCCTTTTCAGGTACCTCTAGAACAACAACACCCTCCTAACTCTAACAGCAATCAAGATTACTGTATTCATAATCAATCTCCCTTTTTAATTCCTATTATTCCTCCTACATCAACTTTCAACTCCCTCCTTAAATGTCACCATAGCCAACAATTATAGTGCACGAAACACTGTCCCAGGTCTGCTGGACGCTCGCTCCGAACTACACTTTGGAGCCTTCAACGTACACACTATGTTGAATCAGCCAGCTGGCCTCCTTGGCTAAAACCCTAGAATCTCGTACCATTGATGTATGTTGTGTCTCCAAAACACATACAAGATCCTAGCATGGTCATACAGCTGAGCTCACCTCGGCAAAACGGAGAGCTGATGAGATGCACTCTTTGTGTATCTGGTGACCCGATGGCCAGTTCTCGTGAACTGGTAAGTGTAGGCATAGTACCAAGTACGAGGGCAGAACAAGTACTATTGGAATGGATCCCCGTTAACAGTTGACTATGTGCTGAGGGACACACATCGTTGCCCGTTCGTCGTTTCTGCCTACGCTCATACTGACTGCAGCCCAGCGAAGTGAAAGATGAATTTTACAGTAAGCTTCCTGAACTTCAAAAAGCTAGACTCAGATATACTGCTCGTAGCAGGTAACTTTAATGCTCATGTAGGTAGCTTAAACCAAGCAGGAAGATATTTACGTGAATATTTTAGTATTCCTACTCACCGAACAGATAATGGTGAACGTCTGCTGCAACTGTGCTCAAACAATCGTTTATCTTTAGCAAGCACTAATTCTAAGCATGAGAGGCATCGCCTAACAGGACGACCTCCTGCACCAGACTAAAATGGACTCGAATAGACCATATTGCCATCAGTCGTCGTTGGAGGGGCTCGATAGGAAACTGCCGATCGTTATGGACTGCATGCTTATACTCTGATCATGTTCTAATACGAGCACGCATTTGCCTGCACCTGACTGGATGCAGAAAAACTACACTAAGAAGATCCATTGGAGTTGAACTAAGTGGCGAGAAAGCCGAAACTAGATTCCAGGAACGACTGGCGTCACACTTAGGTAGTTCTGAGAACCCAGATGTTGCTTGGAAAAATATACAAACAGCAGAGACATTTATTGATCATTTGAATTGAGGGGTTACGAAAAACCAATGGATTTCTTCTAAGTTTATTGCACTAATGGATTCTCGTAAAGTCATTCCATCAGACTGTGAACACGATGGAGGACGAAAAGAAATCAGATCTAGGTCAACCAAAAGTCTAAGGAGCAACCGTGAGCAGTGGTGCGCAATAAAAGCAAATGAGATGAAAAAGGCAGTGTCTGTAGGTAACACAAGACAGCTTTTCAGACTAATAAAAGAAACTGTAATTATGTAGTCAAGTGTAAGTAAGACTATCTCGGGAAAGACAACACTTATCTGCCCTTTGTCCAGACGTATAGAACGATAGGCGGAAAACTTTAAGGAGCAGTTCAGGTGGCCTTCAGCTACTCTACAACTACACATCATTCCCAAACACCCAAAATGGAGCATTGAAGTAGGTCCTCCTACTCTACCTGAAGTTTAAAAGGCTATAGATAATCTGAAACGAGGAAGAGCATCTGGTCCAAATGGATTGGCTTCAGAGGTCTTTAAGGAAGGTGATCCAATTTTATAGATTAGGTTGAATAATATTTTAGCTAAGGTCTGGGAGTTAGACGTAATCCCATCTAACTGGTCATAATCACTGATTGTCCAAATATATAAGAGAGTGTTAAAATCATCCTGTGACAACCATAGAGGGATTAGTTTGACTAATATAGCACCTAAAATACTAGCCTCGATAATTATCGGGCGGCTAACAAAGTCTCATGAACTGCGAATACGAGAACATCAGTTTGGCCTCAGACCTGGTCGTGGCTGCATCGGCCACATATTCACCATTCGTCAGGTTCTAGAACACAGGCATGCTTATCGGCGTCTGACAGTGGTGGTCTTTCTTGATTTAAAAGCAGCATTTGACTCTATAGACCGAGAGGTTCTGTGGCAGTGTTTATCGCTGAAAGGTGGACGTCAGAGGTAAATAAACCTTGTGAAATCTCTTAACCCGAACACTACTAGTCGAGTCAGGGCTTAAGGCGAACTGTCATTTGCTTTTACAACGTTAAGTGGTGTCCGTCTAGGCTGTCTACTATCTCTATTTTTGTTCAACTTCACTATAGACCTACTGATGGAAATAACGCTCTCATCGACTGAATTTCCAGTCATTGATCTACCGGGAGGTACACTTATCGGCTTAGAATACACAGATAATATAATCCTGTTAGACGCTGATAAAATGCAGTCTTTTGGTAGCACTGAGCAACAATGCCAGAATTTTCGGGATGCGCTTCTCCCCCTCTAAATGCAAGTTGTTGCTTCAGGACTGGCCTCCGTCAATACCTGAACTAAGGATAAGGAGTGAAGTAATCGAACTTGTCGACAACTTCGCTTAGCCTCGAAGTCTGATCATCCCTGATGGGCGGATGTCTGACGAAACCTCTGCACGGATTCAGAAAGTTCGTCTGGCTTTTGCCAACTTCCGTCACTTATGACGAAGGTGACATATCCATCTAGCAATTAAGGGACGAGTATACTGCGCAGCAGTTCGTTTTGTTGTTTAGCGCTGCGAAACGTGGCCGTGAAGAGTCGAAGATACTCGTAAGCCACTAGTATTTGATCACAGATGTATTAGAGATATTGCTCGCATCTGCTGGATTACCGGGTAAGTAATAGTGAGGTTAGACATAAGGCATTAGGGAATGATGTTAAATCAGTTGATGAGGTTGTGAATATTCAGGGACAGAGATGGTTGGGCCGCGTGTTACGTATGCCTGAACACCGATTATCATGACGCGCAATGCTGACTAGTGTTGGAGACGGTTGGAAGTAAGTTATGGGTGTGACATCAGTCTTTCAAGTCACTAACTCGTGGCGTGAGCCGTGTTATTAGACTCAGACTACTTGGCTGAGGTCCGCGCGACTATCGTAACCAATGTTTGGAGATTCTTGGTGACATGGCTCAGAATCTATCACAATGGCATAGGTGTAAACAATCTTTGTTTTCCCTTAAACCCTGAGATTAAAGTCACTTTATACCTTTCTTTCTACGAACTAGTTCTTTCTCCCTGTATCATGTCTGTAAATGAAATGTTTTTTTACTATCATTGAAGTAACTGCTACGAATTTGGTGTTCGTCTTGTTGTGCTTACGAGGTGTGGCATCTTGGTCCGATGCATATATGTGCCTGGTCTTACGTTGTAACTGGATGACTGACTTAAACTAATGCACATATGTGTCAGGTCCCACACGGTTTATAATTGACTGATGGAAATATTTGGAATTATACAGTGAAATGTATTATTCAGTTGGTATAAATCTACTTAGAAGCTAACATAGAAATACCCATAAAATGACCATCAACTTAGTGAAAGTCTATCTACCGAATATAATAAAATAAACAATTATTGACTACGTCCATATATTTTAGTGTGGAAGAGCAGAAATAACAAAATTATTGTTTATTATAAATCATGATAACTTCACTACGATAGAGAGCTATTATTCTTGGTAATTATTATAATGAAGTATAGTTACGTTCATGGTACCTATCTTAGATTCGAAGTGTAGTTAATGCAAGGAAGAAGTAAGTGGATTTCACGAGTGATAACACTCTTTTATTGACAGAGTATTCGTTTTGTAGGCTATTGTAATGCATGGTAGTTTTGTTTCTATTAACAAAAAAAAATTTGTGCATTCATTTGAATTTTAGTTTTGTTCATGAACCTATTCTGACCATTCTAATCTCGTGGCATAAATACTTATACTTTTATTGCACATGGTGTCGGAGTAATTTTTTGAAAAAAACTGAAGGTGAATGTCAATAAAATTGTTTATGACTACGTTCGACAGCTGTGTTACACTATAAAATATAATTCAATAAACTTACTCTCCATCTGTCACTCGTTGGTCAACAGTGGTTACAGCTACTGTAGATGGACTAGCTGCTTTATACTGGAAAACAGAAAAAAATGTGATTGTTTTCATGACAGATTATAATATAAAAACAAGATATATTTAGAGATCGTCGTTTAATCTACGTAACGTTTCGCAAAATATTTGAAGTCAGAATTTAGATATGATTGACATTCAGATTTCGCAGTAGTAACAATTTCCGTGAAACAGTCACTAAGAAAGTTTACTTAGAGATCACCGTTTTCCTAGTCAATTTTTAAATGAATAAAGTGATAAGTTTTCGAGATATGGTCAGCATTAACCAGAGAAATAATGCGATGAAACATCTGGATCAATCACAGAACACAAGATCCTCACGGATGTGAAATATAAGTTATGGTTAAAAATACAAAGTCTCATGACCGAGTGGGGGATCTTACTTGAAATATTAGTTCTTTTATAGATGTTAATTTTTTATTAACTATGTCATACTTACTTTTTGGAATTCTGATGAACTAACGTCAGATTAATTTTACAAGTTACGTTCCCACAAAAATGGGCTTAAAAAATTGAACAATTGTATTACATTTAAAATTTATAAGCTAATGAACTTTTTGTCTTAATTATTTAGCCTAGTGAATATTCGTGGACACTAGATTCCATCATCTTAGTGAATTTGATGTTATCAGATATACTGTTGACGTTTTTAAAAAGTTTTTCGAATCCATTTTGTTTTATAATGACAAAAGTGTCATCTACCTACCTAGACCGGGAGATAAGATCTGTTGACTACAATGACCTTTTCTGGACTGTTTGATTGGAAGAAAACGTAATGATCGTCTAAAAATGATAATATTCCGAAAACCAACATATTCTGCGAGACATCTACATTACATGTCAGCACATTCTCATTCCAACAAAGTGACACTGACCAAGAATTTGATAAACAAAGTTCAAAAACTCATCGCCACAAGTATAAGGTTAACCAGAGAACCATTGCACCTATTCACACTCGTTAATTTTGATGTTTGATTATATTTCCTTGAATAAGGTTGGACCATATTGCCGAGCGAAACGTTGGTTTTACTTTAAATTCAATCACTGGTATTTTAGAATACATTTTTCCTTCATGTCTTACATTTATTCGGTACTTAACTACTATAAAACTATTCATTCAAATGTAGACGAAGGTTCTTAAATGTGAATGCGGTTAGTTCCAACTTCAGGTAAAATAATCATTCGATTCTGTCTCATCACCAGTACATTTTTTTACTTATGAAACTTTAAGGATAGTTTTTGTCACGAACTGGTAAATAATTCATGGCAAAGGTGTACTGGATAACTACTTCATTATAATCTAAGACTTGTTTGTATCCAAATCCCATCCCACACGAGACTCATTGTTTCAAGACTGCTGAATAACATTTTCAATTTGGGATGGAGCATTATGATCATCTAATCTTATCGTTGATACATATCTCAGTCGATTTTACATAAATCTATTTTTATATACTTTAAAAGTTTTCAATTTTCATTCTAGTAAAACTCACCTTAATGAGTTTACGTTCTTCAGAGCCAAGTCGATAGGCATCGTAGTAAAATTTCATTCCAGCACCAAAGAATAAAAATGAACACGCAATTAGTAAAGGACCAGTTAATTCACCAATATCTAATGACAAGATTATATTCATGTAAACATGCCGTAAACATGTAATAAGTAGACCGATGAATAGTACCAGTAAGAACATTATATAAAATCCAACTGCAATCCAATATAGTTTTTTTTGCTCGACCAAACTTAACTGAATTTATTTCTCTTTGGACTTTACGATCATGATGTTCAGCTTGTATTGTTGTTCTACCACTCTTATATGTTGCCAGAGAAGCCTGGAATTATTCAAAAAAAGGAAAATAGGGACTATTATCATATACAACAGTTCCTGAACGAGGTTATATTTTTTTAAAGTCAGAAAGTAGAATGTTTCAAAAACCCTAGTTGGCAGACAACGTGCAAAATTTATTTGTACTATTATAACAGTCCTTAAAATGAACATAAGCGATCTTTGCCTTTTCTCGGTTATGTAATTCAACGTGTCTCTTCAATTTTATCAGTCATCTCCGATTTGATTAGTTTAATAATTTGAATGTAATCGTTGATAATAGACGCTGTATTTTGAAATATTATGAAATCCAAGTTCTACAGATGTTTGACATGCATTTTTATGTGTAGTTTTACACAAGGCAAATCAATTGTTTGTTATATCATAGATGTCCATAGTTTTCAAGTGAAACTAATCCGTAGTAAAGATCGACACAACACGCTATTCAAACGACTTTTCCGTTTTTATATTGTGGAATTGGATTCTTTCAAATATGGAAAACTGATTAGTTTATCAGTATGAGATCGTCTCATTCTCTACATTTATTTTTATCGGACGCGTATGAATACTGAATGTGCAAAATCAAAGCCTTTAGATGTGATTGGCTCAGAAATAATAGTCCAAATCCGTTAGATTCATGATGATATGGAAAAAAGACCAGAAGGAATAAAAGAAACAGCAAATTTGTAAGTGCAATAGAAGTCAGTGATCTCAATTCAAATCTAGAGGTTCAATGAAAAATAACTCGTCTAGTGGAGTTTCTTGGTTAAATTTTTAAACTTGATCTATATCAAATTACTAACACTCTTAAATTATGGTCACTGTGAGCTGTATTAAACCAATAGTGCCCTTACTATAATTCTAGGTTCAAACTGATTATGTGGATGCGTTGCATTTATACCTTTCTAAGAAATGCTGTGAAGTTAATATACTAGCGGTATTGTCCAAGGTTCAGTAGTTTTCTTGTTTTTCAAAACGTCAGAAACCCAGTCAATTACTACAAAAAATAGCAGAGAGCACTATGAGTAACAATATTAATGATATTTTCCTGCTGCTTTAAAAAAACATCACTTTCAGGAGGTCAGAGTTGATGTTCGATGGTTATTACAGTCTTTCAAAAATTCTGTCTTCAGAATATGACTGTTCATTGAATGAGAGCATATACTTGTTTCCATTTGTTACTAAAGCCTCAAAGGTTTTAGGTGGTTGGAGGTGGTCTATAGAAAATCGTGGAGACTTCGTATTTTATCTATTTTTGACGCCGGATAGTGGCCATCCGGACTCGGTAGGTTGATGAATAGTGCTGTAGGATCTTAAGTGGTAGATACTGTGTTTGAGTCTCGATATGGATATGACCATTAGAATCCAGATACTTCCAGGTAACAGCACGAAACATACAGTCTAGACTCCACTACTAGCCATCACACAAAACTACTAACCCCTGGGTATATGTTCTGCCTGACGTAGGGATGACAAGAAACATGGTATCAAATGGTCCATGTTTGATTAAAAAGGACTGATAAGTTACTTGTTAGAATGAAACTATCTATTTGTAAACATATTCATGGTGAAATCAAAGGCTATAACTTTAATGCTAATCAAGAAATTCACAGTCTTAAGCAACACAAGTCCTATTCAAAAGTTCAGGAAAAAGAGTAATGATAAAAAAATTGGGTAATTTTAAGAGATTAACAAATGCTAAAGTGTATTCCAAATAATATCGAAGAAAATTTTGTAAAATATTAAGCCAAGTAGGAACTTTATTATAAATATTAAGAAATAGAACATAAATAAAGATTCGATAAAAGCTTATATTAAAATTCACAGAACGTTTTATGGCAGGAACTCTGATGTCAAAAGTCTCAATAATGGTTATCAGTCCTTTTGTACGAATGCAAGTGATAATACAGGCATGCTCAAACCAAATTATCTGAAGCAGTTTTTAGATTTGATTAAAAAGTGATTACTTTAGCCACTAAGTCGCTGTTTCTAATGTAGAACATCTCTTGTGGAAACCTTGAATGCTAGTTTCACCAGTCGTCTGATTAAGATGTTTGGACTGTATAATTATTTCCGTGATATATATATATATATATATATATATATATATATATATATATATATATAATAAAATTGAAGTATCAGATGAAGTCCTTTTATATTTTGAAACAAGGAAACCGTTCCTGTTTTACCCTTAGAAAAAGTCATGACATTCCTAATTACCAGTGTTTATGTATAACCTTTCCTGTCTCCAACTAATTATTATTACAGTTACATTTGTTTAATTTTAATTAATCTCACTTTGCGGAGCATTTAGAAAATATGATGATTTTTTAACTGCTTGGTAGCTTACTTTGGAAGCTTTTAAGCTTCTTGACATTCTAAAATGACTAGGAGCGTAGAGCGAACGAGTACCTTGAGTTGACTTTGCTAATAATACCGATGGCTGATAACCTGAAATGCTACCAGTTCTACTATTGTTATTAGTCAAAACGGTCGATCCATTTTCGACAGTTTGCATATTTGATGACATATAAACGCATGGATCCATTTGCCTTGTACTCTTCATTATATTTTGGTAAACGTTTCCAACTGAACCAATTTGTGATCTGGATTTAGATGACATATAAGATCCTGAAACAACAGATCCTGTAGGTTCTTGATTTATGGACTGATTTACAGGACGGATTGAAGCAGTTGGTGGAACACGTATAGGATCACTGGAACGTAATGAGGAAGAGCTACCAGTTCTACCCAAACTATTCAGCCTTTGTTGTTCATACTGCATGCGCGTTAAGTGACTCGTCATTATGATCAGGCGTCAACTTGATTATACTTTTACAAACTAAAATTTTAATAGTAAAAGAATAAAATAAGAGATGAAAACCTACTAGTTCTAAAAGAATTACGTTTCTTGTGTGAAAGTCTTAGTATTTACCCGAAAACTATGTATAAACAATATTTTAGCCTTAAGTGCTTATAGATAAGTAGGATACCTAAAGACTGAACAATGTAACTGTTCTTTTTAAAAAGATTGTTTGGACATCAACCTCCAAATCAAACTGAACACAAGTAGCAATTATGAATGACCAGACCATACCAATTTTTATTCCATCTTAAAAAAAGAAGTGCTATCTATGAAAATGGCGTTGTTTAGGTAAGTTCCGTCAACATGTATGAGAACGCACGAAGTTATACTGGTTTTAAATTATTCCTTGTTCAAACTCACCAGCAAAAGGACACATCATTCAGTGACAAATCTGAAAATAGATATTGATTGACCAGATAGATAGTTTATGAATCTCAAAATTGTGGTACATCTGCAGCGGCCGGAAGAAAAGGAAAAATTACACTAGAGTTTAACTATTAGGAACAATCAAAGTTTGAATGAATAGTTCAAGCATGAAGGTAGAAGTTAAACTTATTGAAAATAATGTAAAATAGGATTATATTTTGCTGGCTGGATAACTCCACTTCAAAATCTGAAGCACTTAGGGGACAAATAACGTTAGAGAAGAATAGAAAAGTGAAAACAATTTACAGGTTAAAATGACGTAGGATAATTGTCCAGATATAAAGAAAAACATAAAGGTCATGATAGTAACTGAATATTATTCATTACAACATCCTGAAAAAAGCGGAAATTGTTCCAAAAAACTTTTTATGAATACCGAATTTGAAGGAGATACAGCTGCTGAAACTTCGAATAAGCGGATTTCAAAATCCATGAGTAAAACTTATTCAGCTAGTGTTCTGAAATGCATTTAGAAAGTGACAGCTTTGTGAGGCTAATGTGATTTCCCCCATAGGAGCAAGTATATTCGTAGATGCACATCGATGTGACCCAAAGAGAGAGTTTATGCTTAGCACATCCGTGAATGGTAGGTAGGCTTGAGAAGATAATGCTGAGATTAACTCTATGGAAGATTTTACTCATGGATTTTGAAATCCGTTTATTCAAAGGTTCGGCAGCCATATCTCCTTTAAATTTGACATTCACAGGAAGTTTTTCGGAATTTTCTTGCTTTTCTCAGGATGTTGTTATGATTATTATTCAGTTATTACTATGACCTTTATGTTTTTTTCTCCAGATCTTTCAGGAGGACAATTATTTTCGTTCTTCTATTCTTCTCTCACCCCCTCAGTCAGTCAGATACAACGTAGAAACAGGCACATATATGCATCGGTCCAAGTTGCCATACCTCATTAACACAACAAGATGGACACCGGATTCTCTCACCCCCCTGATTATTAAGCAACTTTATTTGACATATAACTTTATTCTACAAGGGAAATCGACGAATTTTCAGGTGGACACCAGTGAACTCTTAGTTTATGGACATGGAAATGTAATCAACCTACGAAACAACAATCACTATTTTTTCACCGCTGGTAGCTTGTATTGAAGACAAACAACTAAAAATTCATAATAACTAGCAATTAACTTTAAAACCCTGTCTCATATATCATGAGCAACGCTTAAAGTAAGCATTATATTCTCTTTGGTATTTCCCACCTACACCTTTATTTTACGGGATTCTAAGTTCCGGAGTATTAGTGAAAAATCCAAATGGGAAATCCAATTACGATGAATCCGCAAAACGATGACAAAAAATGAGTATAAGAATAACTTACTAAAAATATTTTTCCTAGGTTTAACTAAATAGTACAGAGACAAATCTTTAAACCGTTGGAAATGTTCTTAGGTTTTTTACCGAATCGGATTTTCGCAATAAACTTCATAGGTTGTTTTTAGTTTACTGTAGTTAATATGGTGAAGGTTGCGCTTTATTGTGTATAGTTTTACTGTGACAAAATCGACTAAAGTTTTGGGGGACAAAACATTTAAGCACCATCTACAGGAATCTGAAGATATTGTCGTTATATTCATAATATCCTAAATGTCATAAGTTTTAGTAATTATTGTGAACAAAACATTTAGGTTGACCTACTCCATTCACAATACATTCCATCATGTGCCTGTTAAAAATTTACACAGTTTTCTATTTTTGCATATATACTCTTCTGTTACTATTGTCTGTACTATATAATCCAATATTATAATGTTTCTGTTATGTCACCATTCTTGTTTTTTTGTGTTTAAACTATTATTTGGGACTTTATACATACAAACGATTGTACAGCTTAATTATTAACTTCTTAAAAAGAGATCCATTTGCTGAATTTCGTTCTTTTAATATTCAAAAACAATGCGTCAACTTAAGAATATTTAATCTGACCACAAATCGCTAGCATCACTCCAAACAAGCAAATCTGTAGAAGTAGAGTTATTAAAAGGTTGTAACGTAACTGTATAATACTCTGCAAAGGGTTGCTTAACTTTGAGTCAGGTCTCACAAGCGAATACCATCATCTAAATCTTGCTAGGTTGACTGTAAAATTTTAGAATAATAGCCATGATAAACTAGTCTCAGAGCCTCTTGATGAGAACTGTCTGCTTTTCAGCTGCTATCAAATAGCAAGACCACTTTTAGCCGATAAACTATGGAGACTGATAAGGTTTGATTATTTAAATGCTGAATCAACGAGCCAAACATCATATTTAAAACAATACGGCTAAAGAAACAAAGCAAACAATTAGTAGGAGATCAAACATTTTGCACGACTTTCATTTTTCGGTTTATCAAACATCTGTGTTAACAACTGTTTTAGGAGAACTACGTACAGTTTGTCTTTTTGGCACTGATACTTTGGCTTACAACTAAAGAGCTTTATTGACCGGACGAATGAACGTGAAAAATTTGTTTTCTCAATGGATTCACAGTTTATGGTACTAGTTAGTTACAAAACCCATGCATACCAAATATTTTCACACTTTCTTTACTTACTATATTTATAACTCTTAAAGAGCCTGTTGGGATATTCAGAAAAATATCCCAAAAATTACCCTGTTAAGTCTAATGCTATCCTTGAACTTGAAATGGTATCATTTTTCTATCATTCAATATTCGTTTCACGTATCATTTTCCTGTTGGCCAGATATTGTGCAAATTTTATTTTCTATTTTATGGTACGATGTGGTCTGCATGATTGGTATATAAACAGAGAATGTTTGAAATACATGATTCATATCGCAGAGGCTGAGACTTGTGTTCTGGACTTAACTGGCTGGGCTAGGCAGGAAGCACGGCCAATCAGAACTCTAGGCTGCTCGCACGTGTTTTATGAGTCAATGATCCGATCGATAATCCACTGCTCTCTAATCGGCGGTCACAAGTCATTAAAAAGCTTCTGATAAAGTATGATTATTTGAGGCTGAACTGTTTGCATTTTCTACTATAGGGAATTTTGCTAATGAATGAGCATCGTATCAAACCAAAATTCAAAAGAAAATTTCATTATGGCTTCAGTATAGCGTTATTGGTGTTTTTCTCCTGCTTCATGAGCCAAACAAAACTAATTTTGTATGAGTAACAGACATGCTGTTGTCTCAATATTTCTCCGATGATTTTTATTCACTTCTGTGTCAGCATTACGCCTTGAGTTTTTAAAAGACCTAGTTATTGTGGTATATTGTACCATGTTACTCTACACTACTGCTACTTCAAACCTACGTAAGCTCTAGATGACATAAGAAAAAACAATTTCTCACTGTACAAAATAATAATTAAATATGGGAACGTTTGAAATTTATGTCGGAACAATGGACGAGATTACGAGGAAGCACTATTTATTTGTTAAGATGGGAATATTAATGCTTCGCCATTTTACTGGTAGTGTATTAAATTCGGTGTGTCCTGGGGCACCACTAGATACATTTAGATCTGATCTTCACTCAATTCTTCAGGACCTTCGATGAAGTCTCATATATAGAATTGTTGTATAAATTAGCGACATCGCAATCACAGACAACTCGCACTCGTAAACAAATGACTTAGTAGTCAAAAGTTGACAAAGTTTACGAGCCAACTTCAAGCTACATTAGTAATAAACAGTGCTTAGAAAAAATCTTCGTAGTATAACGTGGAGTACTTGTCAATTAAACCCTCCAAGAGCATGATGACGAGTATCCGCCGGAAATAATTACGTGTTTATTAGTCTAAAATCACCTTAAGTAGACACAATGATAGAGTAGTTACTGCTAGTCAAGGTCTGAAAACCACTGGACACTTTCGGTAATGTGTTAATTCCTGGACCTATCGAATAAATAAAAGCATTTGCTTACCATAAATATATGTATTTAATCGCATTTATACTTTTAGTTCTGAATAGTGCATCCAGTTGATGATACTTTTGAGAGAAAGAGAACTTATAGTAATCTCGTTGCAAGCTTCAAATTATTTACCATTTTGTACTTTATGTCCCACATTCTTCTCTAAGAACGGAAACGTTTTGAGGAATCACAAAACCGTCGACTGTTCAAATACTTAATACTTGTCATATCCAGGTGTTGATGATTGTAACTCTGCCTTAACATGCGACTATAACTCTTTTAACGGATATGTACTAATAACAGTTGAAATAACAAAGTCACCCTAATTATCAGGACTATCATATACTATTTGGTCTCATATCTTACTCAAAATAGATAATGCAGTTGACAATACGGCGAGCAAAACGTAAACCTGAAATAGAGTGTGATAAAAATGGTTGATGAAAACTGTCTAGAAAGGTGTTTTATAGGTTCCCCATTTTTATAAGCCCATAAAGAATTCACATGAAACTTCAAAAATATGATTTAATACAGTCTTCGTCATTCAAGTTGTAACGCAAAAGTTGCTATACAGATGTCAAAAAACAGGATAAATTCAAAGCAATATGTTTAAACCATTTCACCTAAGTCACTTAATATTATTATGAAATCCGCTAATTAGCGGATTTCAAGTTTCTAAAGTTTTATAGGAAATATGACACACAGGATGCACAAATCATGAATCAACGGTTAGAACAGAGTGACTGTTTTGTCTATCGCAACAAACACTTTTTCGCTATATTTGTACAACGGAATTTTTTACATTCTACTAAAGAATTACCTTCATGTATGTAGTTAAGTGGCAATTAAAAGCAAAAGCGACCGCAAAACAGCTATAAATATGAAGTGCAAAATAAAAATTCCGTTCATATTTTTTTCACTCACTTGTAACATCGTAACTATGAATAGTACTCTGGGACATTATTACTAACGTTAGTACTGATAAGTAGGCTAAGTAATTTATAATTCGACAAGTAGAGATATGTCTTGACGTTTGTAAGTCTTAAAAAAATTCATAACAACTCACGATGTTCTTTCAATTCACATTCGGGACCAGTATTTACATTGCTTCCGTACTGTCATCTTGAATGTTAATCCAAACATTGACCGTCCTCAAGGACACGTTTGGAAGATTTCAACACAACACTTTGAACTTCAAACATTATGAAGTAATATAACGAACGAGTTGGTATATCGCCCTGAGTACTATAGTAGGAGTACGTTTAGTGATCTATCGATCTGACTCCGTTTTGGATGTCCTGTAGTAGATGTCCCGTGAATAAAAACATTCCGTTAAATTCTGTACGTAAGCTTACCTCGTTTGAGAGACAGAGGTAATAATGAGCCAAATACGGATTGGGTAGAAAAGTATTATTCCGGACTTAAAAGTGAAATGGGCAAACGAAGCATGGAAGACAAGAGTAACAACACACCTATACTACTAATTACAAGCGCTAATAAAACTCTATATGGATAATCCATAAGGTGACATATAGACGGTCACTGAACAGAATTATGAGCCACAGATATACACTCAACGCAAAATAAGCGTAGAATAACAAGGACATGAATCTAAGATGTATATGTGTGAAAGCCGCTATTTCCCATGGAAAGAATAGAGCCATTATGGAAGCTAAAATGAACCAATAGTCACATGCTGTTTGAGTTTTGAAGGTCAGCTTAAAAGCTAGGATTAAACATGTAGGCGCATAGTAACATTGGACACTACATAACAGGCCAGTAAGATTTTGTGCTGGAATTTGAAAAGACAGACAGTTTCCTACAAATACTATGAACATTTTTGCCAACTTTGTGAAAATATAAATTGTAAAAGCCATTCTTTATGAAGAGGCTCTTACTTAATATATTCTTGGTTTATTACTCATTCCCATCAGTCTTCCATTTTAAGGATGGTATGTTGTTTAACCTGTGTTCAGTATTGGCCCGGTTTCATCTCGAAAGCGCTGTTTGGTGGAACTGATATTGTAGTGGGAGCCACTCTGCTGTGTTCCATAGTCAAATAAATATATGCCGGATCTTGTTTATGTATATTATTGGTAATCACACTGATACTTAACAGGTGGCAAGAACCACTTCTGGACAGAAAGTCATCAATGAGACATTTAAACTGTGTTATGGTGTAGTAAACACTATCTACAAGAGTTTTTATAAGTCGTATATGGTGGGATGTAGGGTTGAACTCGCAAAAATCGTCAGACTGTGTGAAGAGTTTCAGTTCATCGAGAGAACATTTGAGTACCAGAGAAGACAGTTTAAATGGCAAAACATATTGAAAGATGAAAATGGATGGCTGTAGGCTATGTATGCGTAAAAATTAGATAATTACTAATTTCCCTTAACGAATATGTCCTTCCTCTTGTCTCCTTCTTCTTTGCATTAGGTTTTCGCTGTCAAGGTCGAGTTGAGAATGCTCTGGCTATATCCATTTGCAGATGGAGACATTGGAAACAACCTCAGGCGGTTTGAGGTCACAATGGAGCTAATCGGTATGACGTAGCTGTGAACGAAAGTGACAGTGTTGGAAGCAGTAATGATTACTGGGGTAACGATGGCTTTTGGCTGAGTTGCACTTGTGGACGAGAAAAAGTTTTGGTATATCATCGATCCTCGGATACCGATGAAGTTTGAGGACGCAGCTGATCGGCATGTGACGTCTTAGATGTTCAGAGACATTTGTCTCGCACCAAACGGGAATCTGCTCATATTAGCCTCTTCGTTGACTGACTTTTTACGCCGTTCGTTACTGGCACTGTACAGAAAATGAAAGTAGTTATTGCCTTTCCAACTCCTCAAGAATGTCACTAAAATTGTAGGAAAACAGCCTCAACTGGCGAGTGCAGTATAGTCTATGAATATCATAGAAATGACTAGAGCAGCCTGAGAGCTGACGAGCTTAACCGTATCATTGTTACCAGACAACAGTAAGCCATCAGTCTCCGTAGGAGAGTATTTTGAGGACCTACGACGAGTGGTGGAGATAAGAAGAGGCACGTGAGTGAATAATCGATGCTCTGAGTGCGAGGATGTCGGACATTACTGAAGCAGTTGCGCATGAAATCGGTAACATTAGTTATTTAGACGTTACAAAATGTACTTTGTCCTTAGAAAGACTATTAAAATTATCGGGTTAGTCGATAGGAGTAGAATGTAAAAAAATGCGGGTGAACAGAGATTCGTTTAGCTGGTACAGGCGTGGCTATATCGCTAATAGACTAAAGACACTGTAAAAAGATTAGGCCGTGTACGTTGTCAATACAGACCGTGCGTGGACAGTCATCAAAAACTTAAGGGTTTAAGAACTGCTTAGTGGAAGTTAACGTATGTACAGTACAATATCCTCTCGTCGCAACCAAAGGATACACTAAACATTACTGCGAAATTTCTCAGACAAATCGGGAAAGTGGTAGATACGAAAAATAAATGAGAGACCACTAGGCATGAACAACTTATCGTACACGATAACAGTGAGATAACGCAGGTATAAACAGCAACAATGAGTAAAGACAGGGTATCAGATATTGAAAATGTAGTTCTATAATTTGGAATTATATTCAACGAAGACGCAAAAGCCCGTAAACTCATAGTCTATGTTCGTTATTAGAATTGCTATAATAATAGATCTAATCCTCAATTATAGATACGTCACGTTAAGACTACATAATCTAGAATGTATGACGTGTAAGAACAATCATTTACATAATTGAAATCTGTATCGTCATAACTTTACCAAGGAACAAAAATAAATTTGCCGTTTCAATTAAAGATTCTAGCAGAACAGCATGAATTCACTTTATTTCTTAGGTTCTCGTCAGCCGCTTACAACCTGTGATATTTAAAAATCATAATTGCATAATGGGTTTAAATTGCTTTCTGAATATTGGAAATATATACCTAATGTGAAAGAATATTCTACAACATTAATTGTGACAACAGTCCAGAAGTGGGTTAGAAACAATTGATTACATAATGAATAACACTGAATGATTGTTGAATAAAATCAATGATATAATAAATGCAAAAGAAAAAAATTTTTAAGGTGCAGTGAAGGAATATTTGTCACCAGGGCAAGGAAAGATTAACTACTTCTTTTGAATACATAGGTCAGGTTTTTGACGCCTGATGGCAGTGGCTTCAGCAAACTTCAGAAGACTGGAGTTTGGCTGCTTACAAATCACCCTAAAGGATGTTAGGTGATTGCACTGTTCAGAGCCTTTCTTTCCCTTGTTCTAAGACTTTTTGGAACATGTTCAAAAAATCTAAGGTATGCTCTCTTTTCAGTTCGGCCGATGTAGCTGCTTTGGCAGGTACACGTAAATTTATAAGTACAGTTGGCGGTAACATGAAAGGGTTTCTTGTCGATCTTTGATTGGATTATTCAACATGTTGTTTTATAGAGAGTTAAAAGTTTAGCAGCCGGATAAGTTTTGGCTAGAGCAGTGTTCAGTCTCCTGTTGATTATTTGTGCGACGTTATCACCTTTAAAGTTAAAATTTATATATACTGGCTTTTTATTGACCGTAGTTATTTCCTTCTTGTTTTCTTTGGGCTTTTTATATTTGTTGATAAACTTTTGTGGATAAAAGTTGTCTTTTAGACATTTTTCTACGTTTATCAATTCTTCTTCCAGTTTGTCGGTGGTACATATCTTTTCTACCTGTAAAATGGTGTTTTAACCAATGCCTTCCTGTAACTAATGGACAAAAACTATTGAAATTCAGGTAGAGGCCATTCCAATTACTTTTTCTATAGACTGAACGTTGGACTGTCCCGTCTCCCCTGCGTTTTATGAAAATATCAAGAAAGTGGAACATGTCGTTCTGTTCGTGCTCCATAGTGAAATGTATGTTAGTGTGAGCGTTATTGAAAAGTTTTAGCAGGTGGATTGCATGCTGTTTATTGTTACAGATAATAAATGTGTCGTCCACATATCTGTAGTATTCCGTTGTTTCACTAATTGCCTGCTTAAGTACCGTGTTTTCCAGATACCCCATAAAAATATCTGCCAGAATTGAACCTAGTAGGC